ATCAATCTTGCTTATGCATTCAACTAACCCTTTTTTACTGATCATTTGTATTTTTCCTCTGACTTTATTTCCTATCTATTTCCTAACTATTTCCTATCTACTGATTTTGGTGTGAGTTTGTTCCTAGGGCTTTGGGGTGTAAGGTTAGATTATTTGACATTTATTTTTTTAATGTAGGAACTCAGTGCTTTTTCTTTTAAAACTGCCTTTATACTGCCCTGAGAGTTTGATGTGTTGTATCTCGATTCTCATTTTGTTTCTAAGAATTGTTTTAAAATTTCTTCTGATTTCCTATTACTACTCATTTATCAGAGTATTTATTTAATCTCCAGGTGTTAGAGATTTGAATTTTTATCTTATCATTGATTTCTCATTTTATTCCATTATTATCTGATAGGATGTATGAAATCATGTCTAATTTTTTTGCATTTACTAAGATTTGCTTTGTACACTGAAGTATTATCTATTTTAAAAAACATTCCATATTCTGCTAAAAAGAAAGTAAATTGAGTTGTCAGTGGATGAAATAGTCTATAGATGTCTGTTAGGTCCATCTGATTAATAATATTTTTTAGTTCTCAAGAGTCTTTACTTAGATTATGTCTGGATGATCTATTTACTAGAGAGTTAAGTTGAAATCATCCAGTATACCCAGTTGGGGTCTATTTGATTCATTATATTGAGAAAAATTTGTTTTGTGTATGTATATTCACTGTTGCTTGGGGCATATTTACAATCATTGAATCTTGTTGGATGATTCTATTAACCAGTATTAAGTGACCTTCTTAGTCTCTTCTAATTAATTCTGGCTTGAAGTCTACTTTGTTAGGAGAATAGCCACTCCTGCTTGTTTAGGGTATCATTTTCCCACTCATTCATCTTCAGTCTGTGGATATCTTTGTAAGGCAAGTCTCTTGCAAACAACACGTGGTTGGGTCTTGCTTTTTTAATCCAATCTGCCAATCTATATCTTTTGACTGAAGTGTTTAGACTATTTACAGTAAATATTATCATAGAGATTATTTTTATTTCCTGACATTTTGACTTATTTCTAATGCTTAATTCAGACTTGATTCTCCTTTCATAGACTATGCAATTCATCTCTATGCTGGCTTTCATTTTTATTTTTCATTCCTTCTGCATGAAATATTTCATTGAGTATGTTTTTTTTTAGTGAAGGCTTAGTGGTTATGATTTTTTACTTTCCACTCAACATTAAAAGTTTTTATTTCATATTCAATTCTGAAGGATAGTTTTTCTGGATTTTGTAATCTTGAAGATACCTGCTTTCTTTCAGGTCTTGGTAGATATTATTCCAAGCCCTTCTGGCTTTTAGAGTCTGGGTTGAGGAATCGATTAAAATCAAAATTTGCTTATCTCTAAATGTGACCTGTCATTTTTCTCTTGCAGCTTTTAAAACTCTATCCTCCTTCTATATATTAGGCATTATCATTGTAATGTGTCTGGGAGAGGATTTCTTTTGATCTTGTATGTTTGGAATTCTTTATACATCTTGTATTTGAATTTCCATAATCTTTCCTAATATTTGGAAAGTGAAGAGATTGAGCATTTCTTTAGTTTGCACTTCAGAGTCTTTTTGTACCCTAATCATTCTTAAATTTGGTCTCTTGATGTTATCCCAAATTTCTTAAGTATTCTGGTCATGATCAACTTTTTTATTGTTGACATTATAGTTAAGATTATGTACTTTTTCTTCAAGGCCTAAAAATCTATCTTCAAAGTGGTCTAATCTATTTATGATGCTTCCTATTAAAATTAATTCTTAACTCAATAACTTGATTTATTGAGTCTTTCATTTCCAGCATTTTCAGTTAGTTCTTTTTAGAATCTCTACTTTTTACTAAAGTGATCTTATTACACTTCCTATAGTTTTTTCTTTAATTTCACTCTTTATATCATCTTTTAGCTCTCTGAATAGTTCAAGTATGAACTTTCTGAATTCTTTCTCAGACATTTCCTCCATTGTGCTGTTAATGGGATTAATTTTTTTATTGACATATTGTGGGCTGTTTGGGGTGGTTTGTTCCCTTGCTTTTTCATACTGTTTGTAGGTTTATCCATCTATTGCACTGATTATCACACTTCTTTTATCCAAGGGCCTAGTTGTATGTTTCTTTCTCTTATGAGACCCAGGCTGGGCAAATATCCAGGTATTGATACTTTCACTCAATGTTTGTCTTCTGCTGTTCCCAATATTAGCACCATTTTGAGGTAAGTTACTGAACCCTATTTACTAAAATTACTTCAGAGAAAAGACATTCAATCTTAGGAAAATAACAAAAACTTGTTGATACTATTCTTCCCAGTTCCTCTAATCCAGATAGAAATTTGTAGTAAAGCTCTTTCCTGTCAGCTATTCTTTTACCACCTCCCTTCTGTGCTGTGGAGGAGTTGGGGATCACCACCTAGCTCCACTCTGCCATCTTCTGGAGTGGTAGGCTAGTATTTTTACATAGATTACATCTGTAAGCAGTACAGTTTCAATAATTATTATTATACTTATTATCTAATGTTATGCCTTTAGAAAAAGTATTTCCTAGCTTTCAGGGTGCCTGGAATTTCCCCTACTGATCTTCTTGCACCTGCATAGGAGAGAAATCTGAGCCTCCTCAACACAGGAGAGGAAGCATATAAATGGCTCAAAGTTTTATGCTTCTGGTAAGATGCTAGCAATTTTTGTGTTTCAACAAATTAACACTTTCCAGCTGTTATTACTTGGGAATTTAATTTTTTAAATATGCTAAGGCAAAAACTATATTCCAAAAATTAAAACTTGAACTCAATTTGAGATTTTTGAAAGATGAATGTAGAAATTTGTTAAATAAAATGTTTCAAATGAACCTGTTCTGTAGTTGAAGGCTGGTTATTAACAAGATAAAAATTATAGTTCTACTAAATTAATTTGTTTATGAATATATTTAAATGAAGACATCAGAGTATTAGGTTTATTGAGATTATTATACATTTCATCCTTTCCCACTAAAACAGACCAATGTAATAAAGAATAAATTCTCTTTCACACACACACAAACACACACACACACACACACTTACACACATACATATGCACATACATACAAAGATGGAGATAAAATGCATACAAGAATCATAAGGTAATTTTTCATACAGCTCTGTGAAAGCTTACTTCTGGAGGTTGTCCTGAAGTTACAATATGAATTTACAACTCTCCAAGTCCACTGTCAAATAACGTCACACTGATTCAAGGGGCAAGTACATTCGAATAACCCCTTCCCTTGCTTGCATCACTGTTGTCATTCAGCACATCATCAAACACATGTCATTACTCTGGAAAAACTTCCCTGTTAGATTAAGAAAAGGCTTTTACTTCCCTCACCTGTTCCCTATGCTCTTCCTTTGTGTATGTAGAGAAGAGTGTCTGACCTGTTTCATTTTCCTTTTCTCTGAAGATCTTCTATTAACATTTCTTGCTGGGCCAGTCTATGGGCAATAACTCCAGTTTTTGCTTGTCTAAAAAAATCTTTATTTCCACCTCACTTTTGAAGAAAAATTTTGTATAACACAGAATTCTAGGTTTGTGGGTCTTTTCTCTTGACATCAAATATTTCATGCCACCCTCTTCTTGCTTACATGGTTTCTGAGAAGTCAGGTAAAATTCACGTTCTAATCTTCTTAAGGTAGGATGTTTTCCCTCTGGCTTCTTTCACCATGTTCTGTCTTTGATTTCCCGAGGGTCAAATATGATACCCTAGGTTCAGCATTTGGCATTTATCCTGCTTGGTGTTTGCTGAACTTCCTGGACCTGTGGTTTGATCAATCTGGAGAAATTCTTGGCTCTTGTTGTTTCAAGTATTGCACCTGCTCCTTTCTCTTTTTCTTTGGCTTCTGCAGTTTCACTACACATAATACACCTTCTGTAGTTGCACCAACCAGTCTTTGGATATTGCTTTCTTCAGTCTCTGCTCAGTCTCTGCTTCAGTCTCCCCAAGCTCAGTGACTCTTTCCTCAGCTGTGTTTGGTCTACCAGTAAGCCCAGCAGAGGCATTCTTCTTTCTGTTAGTGGTTTTTTGTTTTTTTTTTAATCTCTAACATTTCTCTTATCCTCCTTCAGATGTTCCATCTCTCTGCTTTTGTCTGTTCTTGTTTGTTGCCTGCTTTTCCTACTAAGGCCTTTAGCATATTACTCATAGTTTTTTAACTTCCTGGTCTAAGCACATCAAAATCCATGCCACAGCCAATTCAGTTCAGAAGCTTGTTCAGCCTCTTCAAACCAATTTCTGCCTTCAGACCATGCCTACTGACTCTTTGCTGAAGGGTGTACATGATACACTGAATGAAGGCCCATGGTGCACAGTATTGATGAGGTGGGGAGGCAGTAGTCATAAGACTGGGTCTCAGGCTTCTGTTAATCTGTGCCCTGGACACTGAATGCCACCAATGGGTCTTGATCCTCCTTCAATGGGATAGGATGGCTGGAGAAGCTGGAGTTGGGTACCCCCACCATCCCATGGTTTAAAACTCTTTCTCCTGATCACAGGCCTTATTAAAAACAGAATGAGGGGCTGGGGTTGTGGCTCAGAGGTAGAGCGCTCGCTAGCATGCGTGAGGCACTGGGTTCCATCCTCAGCACTGCATAAATATAAAATAAAAACATTGTGTCCACCTATAACTAAAAAATATTTTAAAAAATCAATGAGGGGGCTGGGGCTATGGCTCAGCAGCAGAGTGCTTGCCTAGCATGCATGAGGCACTGGGTTCAATCCTCAGTACTAAATAAAAATAAATAAAAAAGGCATTTTCTACATCTACAAATACCAAAATAATAATAATAATAATAAAAACCAGAATGAGGTGGCCAATTTTAAGATGACTACTTTCCCAAACACCCTACCAGAACCAAGAGATTGTTCCCAATATTCACCAGAGCTCTAATGCATAAGACTCACAAAAGTGAGGGTCCAACACCCCATGATTCAGTCCTTCTCCAGCTTTCAACTCACCCTTGTTCACACTGATCCCCCAACAAAGAAGGCACAGGTGTTTCTGAGATGGTTTCTCGTTGTGGATTTCTGTTTAGGTGAGTTGTGAGCCTCTGTATTCGCCTGTGTCCACTTGCTGGGGCAGCTGGTCATCCTGTGATTGCACTTTGACAATCTAAGAAAAGCTGTTGTCTTCTTTGTGTGCAACTTTCAAGTTGCTGACAGGATCAAGTGATGACTTCCCAGCTCCTCACGTCCTGAGCCCCCCACAGTAGTTTAACAGATTGCCATCCCCAGACTTTCCACCTGTTAAAAATTGAAGAATCATTATTTGCTTTAGTCAGCTTTTTTGCTGCTGTGACTAAAGGACCCAACCAGCACAACTGTAGAGGAGGAAAACTTTATTTGAGGGCTCATGGTTTCAGAGGTCTTAGTTCATAGAAGGCCGGCTCCAGGTCTGGGCTCAAGGTGAGGCTGAACATCTTGGTGAGTGTGTAGCAGAGGGAAGCAGCTCAAATCATGGTGATCAGTAAGCAGAGAGAGTCTCCATTTTTGAGATACAAAACATATACCCCATATCTATACCCTCAATTCCCATCTCCTTCAACCATACCCAACCACTTCAGTTACCACTCAATTCCTATCAAGGATTGGGTTAAGACTTTTACAACCCCAAACATTTCTCCTCTAAACTTCTTGCATTGTCTCATATGTGAGCTTTTGGGGACATCTGACATCCAAACCATAACACTATTCTAGCAGAATCATAGGCAACTAGTGCTAAGAGAAAGTTGTGTCAACTTGCAAATGGAGTGGATCAACAGCACACAATGAAGAGCTCATGTTTCAGCATACTAGAGGGCAGAGAGGAAGCTGATTTGTGTTTCTGAAATCAAGACCTAAAGATCAAAAAGTTATGTTAAAATTAAGAAATCAAAATTTTGTCTGTCTGCCTATTTTTTATTTGAAGGAAGGTTCAAGTAGCTCTAAAAGTCATAAATGACTTGCTAAAGAACAATTTCTAATTCCCACTTCAAAAATAAGATTGCTAACAGTATTTGTTATACCTTTGTTGAACATGGGGTTAAGGGATTTCAGACCACTAATGTTTTAAGATGGCAATTTAAGCTGTGCAGAGCTTCACTCACTAAACACACACAGAGCTTAGAGTACATAACTAGTATAAAGGCTGTATTACTACTCTGTAGTTACTTAGGAAAACAGCCAACTTTTCCTTTAAATATGTGGATGAGATTCAACTGCAATGAAGAAAAATTCTTCAGGGAACACCAGATTTTGTTCTGTGAATAAGTGAGAATTAAACAGCTATTACTTTTCCACAGAATCATAAAATGTACTGAGTATTTCTCACTGCATTATAATTGGGCCACACATTCATCAACTAAATGTGACTAATTTGAAATGCTATCCAGGTTTTTGTTTAATAGGAGTCGACATACTCACACATACACTAAATATAAAAAATCATGTGAATTTGTGAGCAACATGAACAGAAGATCCACAAAAGTGGGTCAGGCCATTCTGGAAGAGCCAGTGGGCCTTCTATTTTTTTTTTAATTTTTTTTATTGGTTGTTCACAACATTACAAAAGCTCTTGACATATCATATTTCATACATTAGATTGAAGTGGGTTATGAACTCCCAATTTTACCCCAAATGCAGATTGCAGAATCACGTCGGTTATACATCCACAATTTTACATAATGCCCAATTAGTAATTGTTATATTCTGCTACCTTTCCTATCCCGTACTATCCCCCCTCCCCTCCCCTCCCTTCTTCTCTCTCTACCCCATTTACTGTAATTCATTACTCTCCTTGTTTATTTTCCCATTCCCCTCACAACCTCTTATATGTAATTTTGTATAGCAATGAGGGTCTCCCTTCATTTCCATGCAATTTCTCTTTTCTCTCCCTTTCCCTCCCATCTCATGACTCTGTTAAATGTCAGTCTTTTCTTCCTGCTCTTCCTCCTTGCTCTGTTCATAGTTGCTCTCATTACATCAAAGAAGACATTTGGTATTTGTTTTTTAGGGATTGACTAGCTTCACTAAGCATAATCTGCTCTAGTGCCATCCATTTCCCTGCAAATTCTATGATTTTGTCATTTTTTATTGCTGCATAGTACTCCATTGTGTAAAGATGCCACATTTTTTTATCCATTCATCTATTGAAGGGCATCCCAGTGGGCCTTCTAGAAGCTTCAGCTTGTCTACCAGAAGAGCTGCTGCTCATAGGTATGGTCATAAGGGTCTCTGCTCAAATTTAAATTCACTTTTCTCAAAGTAAAAATAGAACTTTTAAAAGCAAGAGGTTGATTTAATATTTTAAAATTTTAATCATTTGTTTTCTCAAATGAGAAATAGTATTTTATGTATTTCTCCCCCATTCACGTTATTTTTTGCACATAAGTATTTCATTATCCTAGGGCAGCCAATTGAAAATATCATGAGGCTTTAAGAAGTTCATATCTTACAACAGTTGTTTCATGTACATGAGTTAGTCTAAGGTAATAATCTGAAATTAGTTAGATTAATGTGAAAAATATTCTTTGTGTATCCAAACATTTGCAGACTCTAAAATCACACTTGAAAAAATAGCTAAAGATGAGGGAAGTGCTCATGGTATATATTGAGTAAACAGATATTTAACCTTAAAGTCGGATCTCAATGGGGAAGAATTCATATATGGAAAAGAGAAACAAAATACTCCTAGATAATAGGGTTGCATTATTTTCTTTACCAAACTTCCTATGGTTTTCAGACTTTCCATAAGCAAAATCAGCACAAACTTACTTTTCCTATCACCATGGCCAACCAAGTCTTTCAGGACTGGTGACACAAACTACAACCAAGCTCAAAGAAATCTGGTCCCAAATGTTCTTTCTACTCCATATTGTTTAACATCCAGATTATCTCACAAAGCAGGAAAATAAATTGTTGCCTCCCCCAAAATATGTCAAAACCCTTATCTTTTTTTTTTTTTTTGCAAATTATTAAAACACAAAAGTTACTGAATTGCTGTTCTTTTTAAGGACTGGTAATGTTTCCTTTCAGAATAAGTTCCTTTTTTAAAGATTCTATCACGCACACATACACAAAATACATACTTTACCCAAGTTACAATTTTCTTTAGTGTGTATATAGCTATCTGTCCTTCTAAGTAAGAAAGCATTACTTCATTCCATAGGTTCTCAGATCACAGACATGACACTCCCATTCACTAAGGAGACTCCCTCCCTTCTACTGTACATAGTCCTGGTAAAAAGCTTGGCTAGAAGATTATTGCAGCTCTTGATCATAAAGAAATGTTCCCTAGTTTGAAGTAGACTAATCCCTTAAAAAAAAAAAACTTGGATAATCCAAGTTTTGACATTAGAAATAATGCCCCAAATGAATAATTTACCTGAAATATTACTTCAATTAAAGACTAAGGATTATAGAGCTTCATTCTATGAAATAGAATATTTTTTAAACATTTTTTTAAGTTATAGCTGGACACAATACCTTTATTAATTTATTTGTATGTAGTGCTGAGGATCAAACCCAATGTCTCACACATGCTGGGCAAGCACTCTACGCTGGGCAAGCACTTTACCACTGAGCCATAACCCCAGCCCTCAAATAGGATCTTGAAATTTGCAAAATTTACTTACAAAAAATTTCCATATCAAAATATTTCTGAAAAAATTACTGTAGATGCTGAAAGTCACAATAGCTACTGAGTTCTTAGCATAAAGCTGGACTTTGAAAATCACAGCCCTGTATTTTAGCTGAGTATTCTCCTTGCCTTTATTAAGCAACAGAATGAAAGGTGTCAAAATACTAATTATATCCAAATATAGCATCATTTTTGGGGGGAGGGATACTGGGGATTAAACTCAGGGCACTCGACCACTGAGCATGTCACATCCCAAGGCCTATTTTGTATTTTACTTAGAGACAGGGTCTCAGTGAGTTGCTTAATGCCTCACTTTTGCTGGGGGCTGGCTTTGAACACATGATCCTCCTGCCTCAGCCTCCTGAGCCTCTGGGATTACAGGCATGTGCCACCACACCAGGCCCAACTGTGACATCTTGGGGAAGGGCCCTCCTCAGACTGACTGGGAAAACATGGAAGCAAGCAGCCCTGAAAGCTGTGACTCCTTTATTTCCTGCTGTGAGAGTGCTCCCAGCCACCAGAACAGTCCATGCACCCTTGCACAAGGAGTGCACTCACTCTCAGCGCCATCAGTGCACAGGTTCTCCAATCAACAGTGTTCTCCAATCAACCCAATCATCTCTATGGTGCACAAGAAATAGCAGAGGCTGGGGGTATGTGTATCTTAGCTCCTGTCAACCCCAAAACAACAGAAGCAACTCCTGAAAAAACCTGTAGGGAACTTGGACCAAAGACTGGTCAGATCTCAATGTTATGCTCATATCAAGAGCTGGCTGGCTCAGTACCACAGTAACTGATTCCTAAAAAATAAAGCAGATCCACTAGCCTGCTCTTTGCCTTCCATCTCTAACCAATATATATAGTAACACAGCTATTCTTTGTAGATTTTCCTGTTCAGGAACTCATTTCTGTAGCTCATAGATTCAAAGTTCACATTTCTATACCAGGTAGAAAAGTCTGGCTTATGCTAAATATATCTGAAGTTTTATAATCCACATTCTTGAGGGTATCATGATGCCAAAATCATTTTATCCTCAAATTAATTTTCCTGTCTATACATATCTAAACACGCGCACACACAGTTGTTAAAATTAAGCAAATACAAGTTTGATAGAAAGTAGTATTCTTGAGAGAAAATTACATGGCAGGAAATGCTTAACACTTGTTCTTTTAACCAAATTACAATATTATTTAAGAAAGCATATTTGAAAATAAGGAAATTTTCTCATTGAAATAAATTCGGCTCCTGACATAATTAGATACACAAGTTTTTTTTTTCTAAGTCCCAAATACACAATAAAACATTAAACATCAAATTTTAAACTATTATTTTAAAAGTTTCCTTTTTTAGTTGTTGATGGACAGTATGCCTTTATTTTATTTGCTTATTTTTGAAAGTGGTGCTAAGGATCGAACCCAGTGCCTCACACATGCGAGGCAAGAACTCTAACACTGAGACCAGCCCTGGCCCAAAAGTTTTCCTTTAATTTTCTGATAAACAAATTGTTTAATATATACTATTATGAGAAGGTAAACATTGAAACTGGATATATTTGAATTCAAAAGTACAGAGGGTTTTTTATTCA